CCTCGGTTGCGGTGACCTTAAGTGTCTTTCCACCGAAAATAGGCCTTGTCACATCATGTCAGTACTCTGCCCGTTTATAGACACGGTGAGCCAAGAGGGTTACTCACAATTCAACCTCTGAGCTAGCCTTGGCGTTGACAGTGGCGGCGTCGACCTTGCTGAGCAAGTCAAGCGTCTCCTTGATACGCGCATGCAAGTCCGCAAACGTCTTCTCCTTGTTCTCGAAAGGCTCCAGCTCAACACCGGTCAGACGGCCGATGTTGGTCTTGACAGTCTTGGTAGCATTCTGCACCTGGAAGGTGAGGGGAAGCTGGTCCTCAATGATGCGAGCCTCAGCATAGGTGTTCACGTCGACTCCATTGGCCTTAGCATGCTCCTCGGCCTTAGTGAGGATGTGTTGGAAGGTCTTCAGACCCTTTGTGAAGGTGGGAATGGTTGCGTCGTAGATAGATACAGTGGCCATCTTTGCTGTAATTGCGGGGTGTTTGGTGATGAAAGATGAGGAGAGGTCGGAAGGTTCGGGATTAAAATGATGGTTTTATTTATGATCAAGGTTTATGTTGTGCATGCGCTGAAGTCGTCCGAAACAATGACGGTTCGACAGAACTTCAGACCATCTTTATATCGCGGGGAAGTCGAAGGGCTGTGATTATCGAATACGGATTTGTAATGGCGTGCTTGGTAAGCCCCAGATCAAAGCGTATGCAAGCCAATCTAGGAACAAGCGGTGACAGTCAGGCACAGTGAGATCTTACGCAGATCCTCCGTTCTTATTCGACGTTGGTGTGTCGTGATAGTCTGGGGATTTTACGAATGCTCTGATCTGTCCTGCAGTGAGAGGTCCGGCTTGGGGTTGTCACCATCCTGGTGGAACGTCACGTTATCAGCTGTCAGATGGCGTCATCGTTTGGTATCACGAACGCTGCGATATCGCTTCAACATTGACAACATGACATGAAACTCTGCATGAGAGACATCCATCCAATTGACAATACGACGCTCTAATCACGTAAACATGAGAGAGGGGAAATCGGATGATGCGACCGACCTCGGCCATCGGCACCGAAATGCATCAACGCCTTCACGATAGGCTACCAACGTCCACAGATATGGCCGGCATGAGACAATGCCACTAAACGCTACCCGAGACTTCAATACTGTATTTACTGATCTTTCGGATAGATGATTCTGTTGCGTCGCGAATCTTCTATCATCCATACCAGGCGTTAACAAGTCAACCCGCTGCAACAATGGCGAACCGATCGTCACAATTTGAATACCTTACTTATCTTATGCGATAAACAATGCGTATCTCAGTTACCAGTTTTTAAAGAGTCGCTTTCATAGATTTTGGATGACTGTCGATTAGATTGGAACATCAGGTAGAAAGTCATCTACGAACATGGCTTCACAGAGACCAGGGGAGACATCTACGTTTCTATATTAAGCCATAAAGAGAAAGCCAACGTCCAAGCCGAAGAAGAAAACGCAGCTCGGAGACGTAGACCGACGTCAAAGATCAATCCAAGTTAAGCTCTGTGGACATAAGTCCTTTGCATGCGTGAAGCATTTGTGCTTCTCATGCCGGCTGATTGTTCTATCTAGCCATTCGCGAGACCACTTTTCTCCAGAAGATACACCTAAAACATCGCTCACAGTGATCCCCAGACCAGCACCTTCAGGTTAACTGTTCTCCATCGTTGCTGTAAGTGAACGAGGCAATTCTCAGCTTCGTGGGGCAGGGCCAGCAAAACGTGAACGTCTCGTTTGAGCATCGCGTTTATGATGCTCAATCTATCATATCAAGACGAGATATCACTTGGGTGGGCTCGGTGTTTCAAATGTAGACTGGGAAGGTTGCGCGTATGCGCCGTCTTAGACCATCTACCCGACAGTCTTTCCTTTCTCGGAGCGGACCAGTGTCTGCCGACAAGTCACGTTGAATAAGCTTCGAGTTCCATTTGACAGGTTCGAGATGTCTGGAATACATAACGGGTAACTTCATCGTGCGTAATGCCCAAAGTCTATCGTTGGATGCTAGCCGCATCGCGGAAACACATGGGGAAACCGCCGAAATCATATTTCATTGCCGCGCGACAAAACAGCGAAGCAATGTTTGCTGATATTCGATTCGTCTGATTACCAGCCGCGTTCCGAAGTTGCATTGATTGAATATCAGATGTTACCCGGTATGCCGCATCGCGCGGCTGGTTTATTCTTGGCCACATAGCCCTGTCCGTCGATCGCCTGACACAAATTTCTTCTTTAGGGGAAGGTGTCTGGAACGATTTGTCACAAGAGAGGCTAGAACCCCGTTCTAAAAGTTCAGACGACAGGTAATCAGAGTATTGCACATCGACCGGGATGTGCGGTATCACCATTCGACGAGTCCACTCTCTATCCAGCTGGGCCATCCTCAGGCGTGCCAACTATATTGTGATAACACGCTTACGAGGTAACGGATTGCGGAGACCTATGAAAATTTCCTCTCTGTGAAATGAATAGAAGAACTAAGAAGTAAGTCGGACATTTTTCAACTTTGTCATCAAGGCTATGATGAGCAGTGAAAGGGTTTACTTTGCACTTCTATACTATAATTCATAAACATTTTGTTGTGCTCGCCTGCGAGCGTCGCCTCTTGCAACAGAGCATGGGGGCTGTCCCCAAAGTCAAGAGGCAAAATGACTTAACATGTATCAACTGTTTTGCAGCAAGTCCTCAGGTTTCGCATCGGTATAGGCAGGTTGAAACTTGTCGACGGAGTTATGTTCTAGACGCGAAGTCCACAATTGAATATCTTTGTGAACCAGAGCTACGCCATGAACATCAGACTTGTGGTTATGTGAAGTTGCACATGATAGATAGGCCGGATGCTAAGAGACTTAGAGTCTTATCAAGAGTGTGCCAAATCGTCGCCCGATTTCATCCGTCATAATGCAGGTCCAGAAGAATCAAAGCTAAGGTACCCCTTCTTCCCTTCTAACTTTTCTTCTTCGCAGTTTGCCGCCTGGAGGCGCACCTTGTTGACTGCCGTATGACTCTCACGGGGAAATATTCGAGGGACAGGATGGCCTGGGCTTCTAAAGCTAAGGTACCTTTGTTCTTCGAGATGAATGTTGGCGTAGTGGTGCATTCAGTACACTCAGCTATCAACCATGGGAGATAGATCAAGAAAGCAATGCCGCACGCTGTTCGTCCTGAAGACCAAATTTTCGGACTTGATGACCGCTATGGTGGTTGAAGGATGATCTAGATTTGCTACAGAACCCAGTGATCGTACTGGGCTGGCATGACATTGTAGTAGCCTCTGAACAGTGAAACTGCAGGCTGGGGAAGAATGCTCAGGAATACATAAGTGTGAAAGAATCACAACAGAACTTCGAGGCTAGTTCTTTCCTCACCGCACCCACCGGAGTATATCCCTCTTGCGTGTCATCAGAGGCCCTTATTACTCCTGAAATAACCTCAAGAAGCTACACTTCGCACTATCCTTAGCTTGCTGCATGTCATCTAATTTGATAGCGAGAAACGGCCAAAAGGTGGCAGAAGTAAAGAATGACTGTCAATGTTGCCTGTCGTCTTCAAGTCTACATGGCTACATCTCTCGAATAGCACTTAGTATCTTGAATCCTAGGACTGCTAGGAATAAGTGTGAAGGGCCGTGGCTTCAACATGAATTAGAATAGTATCATCGAACTGGAGAGACTCCTTATGAGACTTAAATCGAAACATAAGATCGGCTCAACGATCGTAAGATGAACGTACACTTCGTCAAGAAACTTATAGAAGATGTTGCGTCACATAACAAAATCGAAGTTTATGGCTCGATCGTTAAACGAGAAAACCCGATTAGTTGCTTCGATTTTCGAAGATTACGTCAAAAGACCAATGCAATAACCTCATGCCTTTAGCTAGAAGTTATAGTGAGAAAGGTTATTCAACTTTCGTTCATGATCAACAACTGAAAAGAAGATCCTGTCAGGCCTGTTTACAACTTATTCCAAGCTCTACTCGCGATTGCAGTTGTCAATTTACTAATGCCGGTGAAACAAAAAGCTTATCACAACTTCAACGTAGATCTCGGATTCTTTTGAAGATATCAAATCAAGATCTATAACCCAGTATCGGGCTTAGACTTCTGTCAAGTACAAACCAGGGTTTAATTCGATTGTATCTGAACCATCTGACATATCTTACAACTTACAAGTTCTGAAGCTACGGGCAATGGGCATCTCGGCCGAGATCAATCCGCAGTTTGAGAACAGCCTTGGCCAAGGCTGTCATAGTTTTGACCCTCCGGCATGGGGATAAAGGCAATTCGACAATGACAGATGAGACGTATAAACACCCAATGACATGCTCGAGAGGAGATGACGCACGCCTCCCATTAGCCGTGCGTTTTACCACGAGGAAGTTTGAGCATTGCGTAACGTTGTTATCTGCCCGGTTATAGTTCTCAAATCCTTTGCTAAATTTCCTAAAACTTACCGATAACGATGACAGGATCATCTAATCTTTTGCTCAGACTGATTGGACAATCCGGTCGGGCATTTTGGTGTCGGTTTCGTCTTCATGTGCTGCAGAAAACTACCTTTTGTCAACCATTTAAGAATGTTTCACACAGAGGCCTGCAGGGGTTGAACCTTGGACAAACGTAAATCTGGGGTTGGAAAGCTAGTTGACTCAAAAGATGCTTTCGCACCCGCGGAACCGCTCCGTGACACGCGTTGTTGATGTTACGGGGAGATTAGTGAACTAAGCCAACCTTCGTGGCAGTGATTGGATCAAAATATTCAAATGGCTTTCCTTGCAAATCTTGCAATTGGAAGCATCCGCCATGGTCAGCCATCACGATGTGCACAACCAAACGGTCGGGTTATCCGATGCTGGACGCTGGATGGCTCCGAGATTGTAAACAGTTTTCAAGAAGAGTTGAGTTCTATCAAATCCGACGCCAGCCTCGTGCGAAATATTCGTCCAGTGTGCTGACATACGCCAGCTCATGCCTTGATGCACTCGATAACCTGCATCTTCTTGTCCAAGCCATGGATTCCTTCCATCTTCAGTCCTGCCCGTGCGACCAGCTCTGCCCAATCGTCCGCGGTCCGTTCCTTTCCTCCAATCTCTAGCATGCCAAAGTCATTCATAGCGGCCAGTGGATCCGGAGGATTCGACATAACCATCTCACTGATGAGAACTTTGCTGTCCGAAGCCATGGCGTCCGAGAGCTGCGTGAGTATCTTCACACAGACGTCGTCGCCGTAGTCATGCAGGCATCGGCGAATCCAGTAGATCAGTGCGCCTGCATAGGTCAACTCATGTCTGCAGCGGGAATAATGGAAATCTCTAGAAACTCAATGACTTACCCTTGACAGGCTGCGGCTTGTGGAAATCATGCACTTGAAGCTGGACGCCCTTAAGCTCGGGCTCCGTCAATGCGGCCACCTCCTCGATGATCTCGTCGCGATCCTCCAAGACAACGCGCTCTGTGGGAATGAAAGGGTTCTCGTTGAGAATAGCCTTGATGGCGTGGCCTTTACCGCCGCCAACGTCGACGAGAATGACGCGATCTTTGTCTTCCGCGAGCTTTGACTTGACCCAGCCGAAGTCGTACATGCCAACCAACGGGATGAACTTTTGCAACACATCCATCGCTGCCATGAATCGCTTCATGCGCTGGGGATTTTCTTTTTGGATCTCCCATATGTCCCTGTCGGGCTGGCCGTGGCTATACGCATGAGGCGTGTGGAGACGGGTAACTGGTTCGCGGCGACCATACTCGATGAAATATTCAGGCAGCTTCAAGGCTGGGAGCATGTGCTCATCGAAACTGAAGTGAGAGGCACAGGGTTAGCCGATGAAGATAGGCGCCGGAGCAGCGTTACTCACACCATGGACAGGAGAAGGCCATCGGGGCTTCCTGGGAGATATTGGCGAGAGAGCGCCGTGTGCCCGACTTGATCAGTTCCATACTGGCGCAAAACGCCGCTCGCGATAGGAACCCAACAGATACGTCCTAAGGCAATTGTGAATTGTTGAGTTCTAATGGCAGCTTAATCATCAAGTACCTACGAATCAGCGATGTCTCTGATTTCACTTGCTTGGCAAGTTCCGAGAACGAGATTGTGCCCTGTTCCGGGATGGCGGCAAAAACGCCCCAATCAATGCAAAGCCGCAGTGCCGTGATCTCTACATTCGCAAATGCCTTCTCCATCCAATCAGGAACAGGAGTTCGGACCGTCTTGAGTATCTGCTTGGCGATTCCGGCAGCGGCAGCATTCTTTTCCGCATCGCTGGCGGGCGAAGTGGCGATGCCAGACAGCTGGGAGGCCAAGTCCGTGAGCGTTTCAGTGCAGGCTGCCATGGCGATTAGGAGGTTACGATTGTTTGAATTCCGCAGGTCCAACTACACAGAATAGTGATCATGTAATATTGAGCAGGCGATGCTGATAGCAGGCGGTGACGGTAGTTATCCTTCTTTTCCGGACGTGAAAATAGAGCTTGGTATTGTGCTATTTAACCTCTCTCAAAACAGACCATTTTTGGCTTCTAGCTTCTGCCTCGCCGCTGCTGCACGAATTCACCGAGCGGATTTCCCGAGCTTACTGACGGACTTACAGACCGATTCCGGGCCGCCCGAGAGACAGCCCCGCATTTCACCGATAACGCCGCCGGTGGCCGGCCGTAGCGGGGCCGATCCTTCTCGGTCTTTTGGCATGGAATGCGCTGTCAAATAAAGGGAAATGCGAGAAACAACAGGCACCGGCCGAAACCCGAAAGGGCCGAAGGAAGGATCTTCCAAATATCCACAAAATGCAAGACCCTCGAGTCGATCAGGCGCCCCAGCCACGCAGGCTCCATTCAACTGACAGGCGAATCGCATTCCGCGGACTGGTCCGCCTTATGAGAGGGCTAGTTAGTCAGTCGTCATCCCATCTTTGTATCTTGCTGCCGCACCGAATCAGCGAATAATCGCACTCGCATCGGCAACTCTGCTGTTAAACGTAAGAGCTGAAAGAAGGGGTGGAAAGGGCCTGAGAACGGCACCACGGCAACAGGAAGTGTCAGACAGATTCCTTCTCGAACAAATCCCGCCTTCTGTGCAGCGACGCCAGAAGAGCGGAATGGCCGTAGCTCCGCGACTCTGCAACTTGACACCAAACCGCGTTTGCCCATTTGCAAAACCTCGTTCTGTCACTATCCGCCCTCGAGTTGACTCATGGGTTGCCAAACTAGGAAGGCGGAGGGTAAAGGGAACTCAGCGACGTGGTCCAAGTTATGCGTGGCGCCCGTCCTGACAGGGCCTGGGTGACAGGAACCGATTAGGCCAACACGTCGCAAGTCTTGGCAGCCGCTTGTCTGGTGATCCGGCTATCCTTCTCTCCCCGTTCCGTGTTGGATGTTTGGGCGATGAACCGAAGGGCCCTGCGTCGCCAGATGTGGCTGCCAGGCGATCATCCGTGTCATCCAGCTTGGCTGGATGTTGGTTCCAATATGCCATACCGGACTACTACGCCATACGACATCATCGGCGCCTCTCCCCATAAACAGCCAAGACGATGCCGCGTATCCCCCAGACTATAATCGCCGGTCACGACCAAGACAAATAGGCTCCTAGCTAGGGACCCTTTTTTTCTATTTGCGGGGGATCGGGAGGTTACTTCGATGGCCCCATCTTGGCGCGGTTGTGAGCGGCATCTAGAACACTAAGGTTAAATCTAGTGCTGTCGTGGAGTAGAGCCGTGAGCCGTGAGCCGCCAGCCGTGATGAAGCTAAGCCAGGACTCCTGCGTAACCCATGCGGCGATCCAGATGGCGACCCCGTTGGAACCTGTTTTGAGGCCATTCCCGGCTAACCGACGGGCACCCTCCTGGCGAAGGTTTTCTCCCCCTCACTTCCTATTAAGGCAACCCATACGCATCGCCTCCGCTGACGCGTGTGGATAGCTGGGCTGAGGGCTCTGGGCTTGGGTCATCTGGCGTGCCATGTGTCGATGTCGTCGACGAATCCATGCAAAAACGTTGGGCGAATGACAGATGTCGTCGCGCTTGAGGCTCCTTGACTCTCTGACTCGATGTCGTTAGTGCGGAGAGCCGAAACTGGCAAACCCATGAGAGCCTCAACCCTGTCGTCTCCCACGTTGCCACCAATATCCGTTGGGCCTTCCTGGGCCGTCCGACGAATTTCTCCCAATAACGTCTCACAACGTCCGTAATAAGCGTTGCCGCTCGGGCATGGCACTCCTTGCAGATCTCGTAAAGGGTAGTTGCACTCGACCTTCTGAGACGACACGGTCGAGTTTCGTTTCATCTGAACTTGGACCAAGAAGCGCGCACGACTGACTATTCTGCTCTTGTGTTGGCTGCCCCCACACCAAACGACACAACGCAAATTCACACACACCAACTCTCTCTGCACAATGGGCCCTCCGACATGGCGCAATTCTCAATTCGTCAAACGTCCCGCCGTGGAGACGCCATGGAAGCTATTGCTGCTCCCCTCAACTCTCAACGGCTAGGCCAAGAACACCAACTGACTTGTCGAGACCGGCCTAACGTGGCACGTCCTCCGTGCCCTGCCCCTGGCTCACCAAACAAGGGAGGTCTGTCGAACCACTTGAGACGCCCGAAAACAGCGCGTTGCTCGTTCTTTGCCTCTGCCTTCTGGCAAGGTGCGATAATAATATCCACACTCGATGGTTTCTTTCGTCTCAGACTTCGGAGGGGCTGTGTCCATCCTGGTTCGCCTGGCATCCAGCATCCCCCGTCGCCTCGATCGAGGAGGGTGGTTTGCTGCCGAGGTGAACTCACGAGATGAGCATGCCTGTGGCCCATGAGGTCAGCGCGCATCCGTCCGGTTTGTATATTATGCTGATAGTTCCCGCGATCAATCGGGGATGAAAAAGGCTCATCACCAAACAAACTTTGTCGGCACAGACACATTCAACGCTCTCACATATATACTCCCGGGTTGGAGATTCACCTTGAAGGTTCCTTTTCTTATTCCCTAATCCAATTCCCCTTACCGTATTAGCAGAATCACTCTGGATAGTGAATCAAAATGCAGCTGACCAAGACCCTCATCTTCACCCTCATCGGCACGGCCTTTGCCCTCCCGACCACGAACGAGAAGCGCCAACTCGCGACGATCCAGGGCGCTGTCACGTCCGTTCAACAATCTCTCCAGAAGCTTGATACCGCTGTCAAGGTACGTGCATCCGAAGATCGGGCATATGCAGGCCGTGGGATCCGAGCAGCCATTTGGCTCAACCCCCCACGCGGCCGCTGCTGTCGGGAATCAGATCAATTAGACTAACGCGAGCAATCTGCAGGCTGCCAACGATGCCAGCACCGTTGCTGCCGTCCAGACCGCCGCCACAGATGTCCAGTCTGCTCTGACAAAGGCTCAGACCGACATCCAGGGTGCCCAGGCCCTGCAGCTGCAGGAGGCTCTCGGACTCCAGCAGCTCGCTACTGACCTCACCACCACCGCCACGACGACCGTTGACGACTTGATCGCGAAGAAGGCTACCTTCGACCAACTCGGTATCTCCCAGGTTGTCGCCCAGCAACTCACCGCTCAGAAGCAGGCCTCCGCAGGTCTCGGCCAGGCTATCGTCTCCAAGGTTCCCGCTATCGGCCAGGGTATCGCTCAACAGTCTATCGACCAGATCACCGCCGCTATCGACAAGGGCATCCAGGCCTACGGCGGTGCCGCCGGCGGTGGTGCGTAAACCACCCCCCCTACGTCGCGCGCCGCGTCCCCTCGCTCTCCCCCCCGTCCGCTCGCTCGTCCGTCCGAAGAGAACCGTATAATCGAATACTAACGAATGTCTCCAATACTTTCCAGCAACTTCTGCAACTCCTAGCAAGCCTGGTGCTGCCCCCCCTGCTTCTGCTCCCGCTGCCCCTAAGGCGCCTGCTGCTGCCCCAGCTACTCCCAAGACACCCGCTGCTGCCCCTGCCGCTCCCAAGGCCCCAGCTGCCGCCCCCGCTGCTCCCGCCGGGGGCCTCGAGGGTCTGCTCGGAGGTCTCCTCGGCGGTGGTGGTGCTAACGGTGCTGCTGGTGCTGGCGGTATTGGTGCTCTCCTTGGAGGACTCACTGGTGGAGCTGGAGCCGGAGGAGCGGCCGGTGCAGGTGGTGCTGGTGGACTTGGCGGACTCGGTGCTCTTCTCGGTGGACTCGGAGGTGGTGCGACGGGAACCGGCGCGACTAAGGCGAACGTGGTGGATTTCTCAGAAGACGCGGCATTGGAGGATGAAGAATAAAGTACAGACCGGGATACTCCTTGCAGCTTAGTTAGCCTGTAGCAAATCATCATTGTTGGATCTTTCATTAATATTTTGTCCGTTCCGTATGGCCTCTAGCGTGAATCTTGTTGCCTAGTCTACCTTGACTACCATCGCTAAGCCATGTCATAGTTGCATATTGACGTGAGCTTTTTGTTCCTGAGGGGGCGGACAGTCGTGAAACGTTACTAGCGGGTGATCTTACGAGGCCCGGCGCGATCGGCCTCACAGTCAAGTTTCGTAGATCCTCCAGAGCCCTGTCGATGTGAGCCAAGGTACTACCCCAGATTTTCAGATTTAGTCCCGCATACCACCCAAAAGTCGCCGTATTACGCTCCGGGTGATATCAGGAATCTGTCGATCCTATGGGGGCTTAGAATCGATTTGCCCCGCGGGGCAGAGACACATGTGCAACTTTGCCTGTGATGCCGCGGCCGAAGCTTTGACCAGACAGGCCATTCCAAAAAATCATCACATCCCAGTCTCTCAACAACCACAACCCATCCCGTCAGAGGAGTATTTGACATGATGATATTATCTGGCGTCTTATGCCGTTCTTGGGGCCCCGCATGGCATAGGTCATGACAGAACTTTCCCCGCGTAGGATGCAAACTTTCCAATGACACAAACCAAGGCACTATCACGACCAACCCATTCCACGTCATTGCTTCCATCGCCTCTGTCATGTCTGTCATGCTCTCATGACAGCCTCTTCGCCACGTGCTCTTACCGACCGCCGCCAAGCGCCGGTCTTTTGGCATGGTGGCTGAGGTCTGGCCTCCGCCGAGGAGACCGGCGACTCTCCCGGAACACCCCTGCATCAGCCTAGTGTTACATGGAGGTCCGTTGAAGCAGATACTGACAGGGCCACGGAAGCCGGGGCCCCCGGTCGCCCCGGGTCCCGTCGGAGCCCTAAGAACCCACTCACCTGGTGTGCCAATCGCATCTTGATCTGCCAAATGTGTCATTCGATTCCGGGCTGCTCCAAACACTTTAAGCCCAGACCAGTGATCCATACGACGGACGGTCTGGGAATAGGAATCGACTCATCGGAAAGATCCAGAAACGAGACTCT